AAATGGGAGCTCCATTGCCACAAACATTTTGACAATTGCAATTCTCAATGCTTGTTGGTCAATTTTGGGCCTAGCCAATGAAGGGGAAGAAACCATGGTTCCAGATGAGTCTGATTTTTGCTTCTTGCTCAACATTTTATTTGATATACCCTTGCATCTACGTAAATGATTTCGCATAGCACTTGTTCCATTCTCAAACCTAATCAATGTACCACAATGGTTACATTTAGCTCTCTTATCTATGTTGGGCTTTGGCTCCTCAATAAAGTGATTCCATACATCAGATCGATTCTTACGCCCTTCAGAATCGCGAGGCGGTAACATTTGTTCAGCTAGATGTTCTATAGTGTCAGAAACTAAAGTTTCATTTAGCTCAGCCATGTAGTTGTTCTACAATAGAAAAGAAAAATAGGATGTAATTTTTTTGTGGTAAAAAATTACATGGAAATTTGACTGTAACCAAGCAAGAGTGTAAGACAAAAACCTGTAAAAGAAGTATTCCAAGAGTTGCTGAACCAAATCTTGTGAGAAGTTCACCTTTCTCTGCAAGAAGCTAAAAATATATGCATGAAACCAAAGCACCAAAGCTCAAATATACTAATGTGATAAAAGCAGAAGCTTTGTCTGTTGAAACTATGTAAGGTGTCATCTGCTGTCATATGCATTACATCCATGTAACATTTGCAAGCCCTTATTAACTATAGGATCAAAGCATATCCCTATGTTTCCATCAACAGAAAAGGAAATTGTAAATTGTTAATCTAGCATTAACAATTGTAAAGCTATAATGGATTAATTAACATACCATATGATGCCATCATAATGAATTTGAATCTGGTTTTGTGGTAGAAGTTATTGGAAATGGAAATAGATCCTCTACAGTTTAGAATTTATCTGGATTGATTGCAGTTCTAATCCAACAGTTGAAATTTCTTAAGCTTGTATTTTTTCTTACTATTAATTACAATTACCTTTGTTTGCTTAAAAGAAAAATTCATAATCATTTGATATTAAAGAAATTTGTCAATGAAGAAATAAAAAAAAGTTGTGTCTTCGTAAATCAGCGTGAAATTAAATGATATACGTTTAAAACTCATTCATATATTCGAATAATGTAACGCAGTTGGTAGATTGGAACGAGGCGTTCCAAAATTGGAACGGGCCGTTCCAAACTACTAAATAAGGGTGATTTAGTAGTCTAGAACGGGTTATTCTCAAACTGGAATGGGCCGTTCCAGACTACTAAATAGGCCTGTAAATCCTAGTTGAGAACGGGTCGTTCCAAACATGGTTGTTGTGAGTTAAATTCAACTCCAGAACGGGCCGTTCTAGACGTGCCAGAACGGGTCATTCTAGTTTCAGAATGGGTCGTTCTGCATGTAAATTTTACACATGACAAAGGAGCCTAGAACGGGTCGTTCCGAATTCAAAATGGACCGTTCTGGTCACTCCTGACCTCTATAAATAGGCGTTGAGGAAGGGGAGAAAAAGAGAATTTAGAGAGAGATTTTGGAGAGAAGTTTTAGAGAGAAAGACTCTGGGCCAGGAAGCTTGCTTTTGGAAGATTGAGGTTCCCGGGTTGAACATCAGAAGGAAATTCCGCTTCTTCTCAGCTCTTGGCAATGCTGAGCCAATCTTCAGGTTAGAGAAGCTTCATGCATTGTTTTCCTTGAAATGGTTGAGTTGTTGGGTGCAGATTTAGTAAAAAATTTGGGTTTTGTTGTTTAAAAGAAAAGAGATGATTGATTTAAATTAGTAGTTGAATGTAGCTGTTCTTGTGTTTTAGAAGTTGTTTATGACGTGATTAAGTTGCTAAGTTGTCTGATGAAGATGAGTTGAGTAGTTGTTGACTTACGTTGTTTATATGTTGTGTGTTGATAATATGTTATATGTTGTTAAAGTTGCTATATGTTGTGTATTTGGTGAAACTAAATTGTTTTTATGTTGTTTATTGTTTAATTATTAATAAGTTGAGATGTATAAGCTGAAGTAGTTTATTGTTGTAAAGTTGATATTGTGTTGACTATAGTTGTTTAATTAAGTAGTATAAAGATGTTTATTGTTGTAAAGTTGAAAGTTGCCTATCGTTGTAAGATGCCTATTATTGTAATGTTATAAGTTGTCTATTGTTGTAAGATGTCTATTGTTGTAATGTTGTAAGTTGCCTATTGTTGTAAGATGTTTATTGTTGTATTGTTGTAAGTTGCCTATTGTTGTAAGATGTCTATTGTTGTATTGTTGTAGGTTGCCTATTGTTGTAAGATGTTTATTGTTGTATTGTTGTAAGTTGCTTATTGTTATAAAGATGTCTATTGTTGTAAAGTTGTTATGATGCTTATAGTTGTAAAGTTGTAAAGTTGTTTATTGTCGTAAAGTTGTAAAGCTGCCTATTGTTGTAAAGTTGAAAAGTTGGGGACATATGGTGAAGATATATGTCCTATGTTGAGATACATAGTACTAAGG